AATGGAACACCAAAGTGGATGTCAGACATAAAAAAATAACCGCATGTATAAACCTGATAGTTGTTGTATTTCTAATGTTGCTATATCTTATTTCATATAGGGGCCTCGGTGGCCGAGTGGTCTAAGTAGTTACTACTGTAATCACTAGCCAGTCAACACTGAGGTTGTGAGTTCGAACCCCGCTCGTGCGGGTGCACTCGACTCCAATCTTAATTGACTAGGATTGTCAGTTTTCCTATCGAAGGTCGGTGGTTTTCTCCGGGCACTCCGGCTTCCTCCACCAATAAAAACTGGCCGCCACGAAATAGCCCAAAAGCGGTGCTTAAAAGTGGCGTTAAAACACCAAAAATCAATCAAATCAATCAAATCAATCTTATTTCATAACACCATTATCATGACGTAACTAATATGAATTCATATGCAGGCGAAATAGTTCTTTACTTGTTAATTAAATTTTAGATCTGGAAAAAATGTTTAGTGCATTTCGATGAAATTTTAAGTAGTTCTATTGAGTTTATTCCACTCACAAACTTAACATTCAGTTTAAGATCAGTACATCAATAAATTCTTTCAAAATAGCATTTATTACTAAAACGATAAATCATGGGCAGTATGGGTTTGATGATCTAACTCCCATTGACAATAGAATACCAGAATATAGTATATTCATGAACTTTGTAGGACTTTTTAGTTTACACAATAACCATTATCTAATTTGCACAAATATTCTTCTGGCAATTTCTTCAAACCAAGAACGTACCTAATACACTTTACTTAGGACCTTGGAGCACGTTTTATAATACTACGGAATTGAGATTCTTACTAAATTCGTCATTATCTCTATATTAAGGAACCATATGGCAGTTTCAGACCCATTCATTAAATAAGCGGACCAACTGAAAACACGTGACCAGCTATCAAAGTGGATTACAGTACATGGGAATGTAACATTACGATGGGATATAGTCCATCATTTTGACTATAGGTAAACTAGATCACTGATAAAAGTACTAAGTTAACTTTTTGGGTTCATAGATAAATTGTATAATTTTAAAAATTTAAAGCCAACAAATTTTGCAACTAGCGACATTATTTATTGATTTTATGTCCCCTTTTAATTTTGATAAATTCCTTTGTTAAAATTCCAAAAGACAACCAAAGACAAATTTTAGCGGTTGTATACCCTTATTTATATCGTAAAACGTGCAGATAATTAACATACTCAAACATATTTTACTACCGTCTTTTGGTGTGTATAAAATGCATTCATGCATAGTACTTATGCAGATTCTAGCTTTTGCACAATAAGTCACACAATTTATTGCACGTCTCAATGGATCCGAAATTTTAACTTTTTTATTTAATGAGAAATCTAATAAATCACATCAAATTAAAAAATCATAGGCAATACTAGCGGGTTATCTTACGTAATTTATATTGAAACATATGTTGTAATATTTCAACAGGATCATATTACAAAATATAAGTTACATAACTTCCGATGATATTTGATTAGTCAACTGCGCTAGGGTTATCGAATGTGCTCTAAAATACTAACTCGTTGCAATACGTGTAATCTTTGATAGCAAAGAAAGGATATGGGGTATCCATCCATGACACAAAATCAGTATGTGTACAGCAAAAAACACACAAAAAGCAAAGGACAGCGCTTTTATTGCTGTTCTCCATCTCGAAATCACAGTGAGGCCTTCAACACAGAGCAAACAAACTCTCACCTCACTGCAAGTTTAAGACGGCCCCTAACAGCGGTTGAGTTTGAATTTAGTTTGCAATTGCTTTCTAGGCGATTTTGTCCTATAAGCATTCACCTGGAACGCTTATGAATAGAAACAAAATTTACGAAAAATCAAAGACTTATAAATACGTGGGGACAGTCCACTTGAGTGGGACAAAAAGAGACGAAAAACAAAGAAAGGGAGACAGAGAAACAGAAAGAAAGAGAAGGAGAAAGAGAGAAAATTATATAAGTTCAATTTTGCCTTCGCGAGCTGGAACCTTAGTTTCGACAAATTTACAAACTAGCTGAAAGCGAATTTCAATAATTGGTGTATAAATATCTTACGGTGACTTTTTTTGTGAAAGCCTTTTTACGCTGTGTGGTTGTTTCGTCGTCGTTTTACTCTATATCCCATTCACATACATACACTTGTTCGAGCCTTAATACTTTAGAAACCAATGAGATTCAAGGCAACGAGAATAATTCGATTCATACCTAGTACTTTTAACCAAGTTCGCAATTCTTGTCTTACGATTATATTATAAAAATTCAGGAACCAGTAGACGTGGGATTAATGGTCCAAATATATTTTTCAATCATGAAAATGTTCATTCTTAAGAGGTTTTTAGTAAGTTATAATAAACAACAACATCAAATGCACCATTTATGTCAGAGTGGGGCTACTTTTATAAATGATCTCGATGCTGGTTGGTTCAATTGGTGGTGATACACCTATTTACTTTATGAGCAGTTGTTTTTTTTTTTGCTGTTTTTATTGTAGCGGAAATTTATATTTGTAGTAAGAGGATATGTAAGGTCCACTCTTTGCGGAAAGTTGGAAAATCCTGCAACTGTTAACTCTATATACTTCAAATTAGTTATTTCCGATGTGATTTATTTTCGCTTTCTATTGTATCAACCCTCCATTGTTGAACCATCTGTCTTGTTAAAAAGTAAAACCTAAAAAAAAGCCAATCTCTATGAACATCAGTGTAACAATAATACTGTAGTACAAACTATTTCCGAGAGAGTAAAATTGTTAACAATGAAAAATAAAAATGATAGAAGCAGGGTCAATATCCCCTCTATAATGTGTTTCACTCACAGGGTAAAAATCGGAAAATTAAAACTTATCGGAATTAGAATATTAAAGAGTCTATATAATTCATAAATAATTTTGAACAATTTTACAATCTCCATAAAATCATATATTTTTTTTCGCGCTGCATATTGCTTTTGAAGACCATTTTAATACAATATTGCAAATTTGACATGTTTTCTGGTAAAATTTTGAATCGGAGAACATCTTTCGTCAAAATAAATTAATTTGTGACTAAATGAAAGAACCTTAGTGAGCGCGCTCACATACCCCACATCCCCACATTGTCATTGGAGAAATAAAATAAGTGTAAGAAAAAAAAATTGTATCAGAAAAAAAAATTGAATCATAATTTCCTGTCAATGTGCACATCTACATAGTATGTCCTTATTATCTACACAGTTTCATGAAATTCTGTTGTGTGGTTTGAGAAGAGTTGCGATGACAAAAGGTTGCAGTAGTATATTGGGCAAATAAGTTCAAAGGGGCGCAACTCCTGGAAAAAAATTGAATCGTAATTTCCTGTCGATATGCACATCTACGTAGTATGTCCTTATTATCTGAAAAGGTTTCATGAAATTCTTTTGTGTGGTTTGAGAGGAGTTGCGATGACAAACTGTTGCAGTAGTACATTAAAGTAAATAAGTTCAAAGGGGCGTAACTCCTAGAAAAAGAATTGAATTCTAATTTCCTGTCGATATGCACAACTACATAGTATGTCCTTATTATCTAAAAAGTTTTCGTGAAATTCTGTTGTGTGGTTTGAGAGGAGTTGCGATGACAAGAAACAGGACTGACGGACTGACGGACGGACAGACGGACGGACTCGTTGCGTGGGGTATAAATACAATACAAAGCTTTATACTGCCAACAGAATTTTGGTTTTAAAGGTGTTTTGTTTGGCCTGGCTTGGGATCAAACCTACAACGGTTCGTGGTCGCGATGTGCATTCTACCATGAGATCAAATATAAGTTTCATCTGATTATTATGAAAGTTTGTCTCTTCCACTATGTTGTTGTGGTAAAATGTGTTTTGCGGGAATTTGAATTTTGGCAAGTTTTGGATTTGCAGGCGACCTATATTTGCGCGAATTGGTATATCGTTTGCGCGCGAATTTACCTGTAATTTACTTGGGTTTCTACCTGGAGTGTGTTTTAATCCTGAGAATAACATAAACTTAACGGATTGTTTTGTTAAAAATGACAATAACATTGGTTACTGTATATATCGTATAAGCCTTCGCTCTCACCCCATATGGAATTTACTGACCCCATATAAATCGTATTTGGTCACTTTCACACTATGTAACTAATAATATGCATAACTGTGGCTATATGTATTTCTCCTGTGGCGTCAGTTAAGCTTTGCTACCTGGTCACGTCAAGCTTAATATTAGAAGCGATGTCTTTGAAATAATATCAATGAGCAGTAAAATTTGTCTTCTGGCCACTTACAGCACAATCAGTCATCTAATTCAGGATTCCCCTGTTTATTACAGCTATTAAGCCAAAACTATTTTTCTTTAAATTACCGTCATGGAGACCAATAGGTCAAACAATTATTAGAAAAAGAAATTTAATCAATTTGAGCTGCATTTCTTAGTCGTGAATTACGTTATCCGCGGTCTCACATTGGAATAAAAAAATATTAATATACAATTTACCCATTGGTAAGCTGGGATATAAATATATATGCATAACTATGGCTATTTGTATTTCTCCTGTGGCGACCGTTAATCTTAGCTACCCAGTCACGTCAAGCTTAATTTTAGAAGCGAGTTGGGTTATGCCATGCTTTATGCGCGCTCAAGAATTTAGCGCGAGCACAATTTTTTTGAATTGGTGGTATGTAAAGTGCTGCAAGGCGATATGCATGACCCTATTTAAAAAAAAAATAATTGTCGTGTCCTTTCCTTCCCAAAACCTATCTTCTTTTCCAAAACTACAAATGGATCTTTGCAAAAATGCAATTTCTTAGTCGTGAATTACGTTATTCTCAATGTCGTCTTCAAAGATGTTGCCATTAATCAGAAGTGAACCTCCAAAACAGCAACATTCCCATAATGCATCGTACTAATTTCTAGATATGCTAACTGTAACGTCAAGATTTTAAAAAAGTATACCAAGTTTAATTTAATGCAACACATGTTCAACATAATGAAGCATACATAAATGCACTTAGTCTAGTGTAATAATGACAATACTTTGAAGTTGCAAAACAGCTTTGGTCACAGGATTGAATGAAAAATGGATTTGACTGACGGCTTAACTTTATCGTGATTGGCATTGGTTATCGATAAAAAAAAAAGAATCGTGTTATCGTCCAGGATATGCACGAAATATTTGCCACTGGACGTTCAAGAAACATAATTATCAAAACACGTATAAAACGTGAATTGGGAGTTCAAAAGGTTGGCGAGAATTTTATGATTTCACTATCCGCCTAAATAATTTTTTTTATAAAAAGTTTATTAATTTATCAAAATTTATTTTAAACAATAAATAATGGAGTCTCACAGGAAAATATGATATACTATTAGTATTTTGATTTGTTTCTATCGTATATCAGTAGGAGGGTGGGACGCCTAGAAAAAAGAAAAATCTTGTATATTTTAAATTAGTGCTTTATTATTATTTCAGAAATTTGTTTTCAATTTGTTTCACCTTTTTTCCAACGTTTTAAAGATTGTGCGGCATGTTTCGATTGAGTCGTAAATATAGCCCAATCGATGACTGTTACGGGACAGTTGTTACCCGCTGTTCTGAAATGCACCCTTTTAAGAATTCAAAAGACTATTAAACATTCTGTAAAGTAAACATCATATCTTTATCTGGATGCACAACAGCATGAGCCCAGTCAACCACAAACTTTAGGTCTGGGGTGGATAGGTTTTTTGAAAATGTGAATGTATGAAGTAAGATTGCAATAGCTAATCGCAGTTCCAACACCGCCAGATGTTGACCTATACACACTCGAGATCCTGCTCCAAATGGTATATACATGTTGGATTGTAAAGCTTCCTCTCCAAGAAAGCGGAATGGTTTAAATACTTTTGAATCATGCCACAGGTACGGAGATCTGTGAATTCCCCAGGTAAAAATAACGACATCACTCTGAAATGAAAGTTATTGTCAACTTGAGCATTTACTAAAAGTATCATAATTATATTCTAACGTAATCTAAATCAGGAATGGACCATTATTGTGTTATGCAACAAGTGTGGACACAGATCAGTGTGGGTAGTAATTGTTCATGCAATAAATCCTTTGTTATTATATCGCAAAGAAATATTCCGTGAATACTGTCATTCTATTTCATTCGGTATCGACCGCTTGCTGCATGCTGCTTCGAATTCATCGTAATGATTAAGAAAAGTAATAACAACAGTCTTTTATGTACATTTCGAAAGTTTTACTAGTATATAGTTTTCATTCTTATATGACTTTACATATCTACAATTACATGATTGTGATTAGTCCGTTGGATTTCTTTCCCTTGGTTTACACTTCGATACTACTTTCGTAACCTATGTAAACACTCTGTCGATTTCACTTTGGTATGTGCATGCAAGATATACATGAATTAAATCCTGGGGTTCCAAGAAAGATGAAATTTAAAGAACAAAAAATTGAGAATTAAAAAGATAAAAAACATTTTTTTCAAGAGTTAATTGATGTGTAAACTTGACCAGCATTTTTTCATTAATGTCGTTCGGACTTAATCGGCACACACAGTTTTCACATCAATAACTTCTAGAAAAATTGTTTAATCTTATTGTAAAAGGCTTATTACACATACATGTACGTTCTCCGTTGGATTCGGCATTATTTGTAAAATAACCAAATAATAGAATCATGTGCATAACAGTGTAGCCGAGACCACTGATTGGCGCGCAAAAATATCCCATTGACTGGGTCAGATTAGGTGAACGTTCGTCTGTAACGCCCAAAACTCACGACGTATTTATTATAGACATTTAAACTGTGAGGTCACCAAAGGGTCTCAACGCCTAAATAAAATAATTCGAAAAACTAATCAGGAATAACCTTTGTGTTTTGATTTATATTGAATACTTACACTGAACTGCGGTCAAGCTTAGCGAAAGGTCGTGCAACATAATCAGTCAAACAAACTTTATTAGATTAACTCGTTAAGGAACGATCGTTTTCATTGGTCAATTCAAACCTTCGACCTCACACCTGCGAAAATAGAACACGCGTACTATAAAGCTGAATGGACTGATCAGTATTCACGTAGCCGGTCAAGGTCGTTAAAAACTTCCATCGTCGTATTCCCGAACATGATTGTGTTCTTGATTATCGGATGGCAATTCTAGCTTTTATACATGTGCATGTAAAATTTTAAACTTTAATCTTAACAGTCACGTCGAAATATTTAATTCAACTGTCTCCTCTCAATTGGTCCTGGATTAAGGGAGCTACCATTTTATTTTGATTGGGGGTGAAGGACTTGGATGAAACATTTTGTCCTTCATTTTTTTTAGTTGTTATCTCTGTCCTGTCTTTCTATTTTTCAGTCTGTTAGGTCCTGACTATATTTATTCGTTTATCCTGATTTTTTACATAAATCGTCATCCTGCCTTTTTTTTGTCAAGTTGCTCACCCTGCCTTATCTTTTATTCAATGGACTTGATGATTTAACGTTGTACTTTAAATGAAACCGTACTTAACTACAAAAATAACCAAATTACATACTAAAGATATTGCTCGATTTTTATAGTAAATGGGTTTGTGTTATAAACTGTCATGTTCATTATTCATATTCTTTCATAAGTTTTAGGATAGTGTGATTTTTTTTCTGATTTAGTTTACTTGATTTTGAAAAAAAAATAGCGAAATTCTAAGTAAATTCAGAACATGTAACCAGCCATGCTTTGTTTAGAGAAAAAATGGAGATGGCAAACCATGGCACAGTGGAAGGAAATGTACTTTATAAACTCCAGCGATATACTTTCTTAATTTATAATTAACTGTTTTGCTATCCTCGGTTGAAAATTATATATTGTAAATATTTAAATAGTTGCATAGAAAACAATCAGTTTTAAACAGTGTGGTTATTCACTAAATGTATTGATAAAAGGTGACTCCATTTTTGTACATACTTTTACAGTAGTCATCCTTAATTTCTTAATATTTCGTTTATAAGTTTATCATACATGTATGATTTTGAATTTAATTTTAATACGCACGCATGCCACACGTTACTTTGGCGGATTGTTCAACAATGTTATGCAAAGCTCTATTCTTACGGTATGAAATTAAAGGATAAATTTTCAACCAATCAAAATCGAAAACAGTACATTTATATAGTTCCTTATAAACTACGACATTTCTCACAAGTATTTATTTATTTTTTAGTTCCACACATGCAAAAATAAAATCTTCGCCGATGAAACATTTCAAACCTTTTTACACCAACATGCCTTCACTGAATACATTTGAATTTCGTGGTGACCATGATAGTACATTGCATAGTACATCTATATTCACGTGCACACATGGTACGATCTTTCGGGGACAATTTGCTCGTTTATGACACGTCATTTCTGAAGAACAAACGCTTAGCTTCTTTATTTTCGTTTTATAGCACGAAAACAATAAAAGAGGAATGTGCAACCCATCATAAATTTGAAATGGATCAGTATTAAGAGATCCTTATTATAAGTAACTACGACATTGTCTGGATAATAACCTAGCGTCAATATGAAAGAAATTAAAGTGGTTCATACATTCATCCGTATAGAGCGGCACATGTATTTTATTTTATCCTTATATTTTTCATAGTGCGGTACAAGTGCTGCATGCATAAAGACTATTACTTAACACAAATTATTAGTATAATATTTCGACCCCACTATTTGAAATTCACAAAATACTTATTTAATTATTTCGACCAAAAATCATTGTTTTTTACGTTCGTAGTAACGTAGTACATTCCATTGTCGGTCACCTGTGTCAATTCACGTGCACACAACAATTGTTGTTGTATTTAAATCTTCGGCCAATGAAGTGAGACGTTACAAGTTGTTTGTTTGTGATACGCCAGAATGTTATCAATGAATTATCAATCGCTAAACTTGACTGCATTTCAGTGTAAACGTTCTTTACTTGTGTTTTCGTTATGATTTGATAATCAATTTTTATGACATCGCACGTTCTTTCAACAAAAAAAAAGGATTTAACTGGCTTTAAAAGTTACAATGCATGTGTTGATTATTATCTTTTTTTTCTGACGTCAAAGCGATTTAACAATTGCGGTTGCATGTCCAATTATGTCATCTTTTAACTTTTATCTGGTCAAAATTTTATTTTAGAACGAATGCATGATCAACTTTAAAAAGTGTGCGTACACAAAACATATAGACAAAATATACTTCTGTCCTGTCTTTTTCGTACTTGCAAGTTATTAGACAATAAAAAGGCTGTTTGGATCAAGCCTTGTGGAATTTGCATTTACGTTTTTGAATAGGTAAAATGTATAGTTTGGTGAACTTTTCTGCTAACTACTATACTTGTGAAAAACCCTTGGCAACAGAAACATTTTCAGCTTTTTTTTTAATCGACCCAATTTACATAGTAATGGACGACTTCGTACATTTTATGATCGCAAATAAAATATGTATATAATATACTGTGCACTGTAGTTCGTATATATACTGAAACCCTTTGGCAACCCCACAGTTTAAATGTTTATAATAAATACGTCGTGAGTTGTGGGCGTTACAGACGAACGTTCACCTAATCTGACCCAGTCAATGGGATATTTTAGCGCGCCAATCAATGGTCTCGCCTACACTGTTTTGCACATGATTCTATAAGTAGCTAGCATTACAGAAACTGTATTATCTGTTGAACCTTATAACATGTTGATCTAAGTGAATGTAGCTAAGGTTTACAAATACACTACATCATGTGTTAAAACTTACATGTTGATCTAAGTGAATGTTGCCCAGATTTACCGGAACATTGTTTTGTCTGCTAATAAAAGGTGCTATTGGATAAAGCCTTAGGATCTCTTTGATCATACTTTCTATTTTTGGTAGAGATGTGGTAGGGTCCGCAATCATTTCAGACCATCGATCTATTGCTTCATCTCTGAGTTCTTCCTTAAAAAACAATGTTTCAGTGATGACGAATCGTGGTAATTTTTTGGCGAATCTTATAACATTATCACTTTGCTGTATGTTGAACTGTTTTCTTTTGTTTCATCAATTTGTGTGAAAACTTTAAAAATTAATGATCAGATTTAGAATAGTAATAAGCTAAAAATGAACAGATATGATTATACAATTTATATTTTTTGCCATAATGTTATTCAGTAAAGACAAAGGAGATATAGGGTATAAGTCAAAGAAACATCACAGCAAACCCCCGACACAGAAAAGCAAAAGACATCTAGAGGTCAATAAACTTCAGGTGTACTATACGGAAAGACTACTCTTACAAGGTTAGACGGAAATGTGACATTCTCGATCTTCAAAGATTTACAATCCCAGTATAAGATTCAAAAGATCACACTTACCTGTATGTGAGGGTAATCAGTTAACAAGGAGAACACAACAGGAATAGACGAAGCTGTTGTTTCTGTTCCAGCCATCAGAAACAACTTCATATTGTCCTTCGCCTGAAATTATACGAAGAGAACGGCTATTTGTTACAGTATAGGGAAAGAGGCTAATATTAATAAAATGTTCTAATATGAAAGTGCAAAAGGAATGTGTCGTTTTTACTTGCAATCGCAAATATACATTTTTTTTCAATGATAGACTCATGTTTATGTTTTACCGTCTACATCTCCGTTAAATTAAAATATAGCACAACAAGGTATTACTGATAGTAATATTTGAATCTCTCTCTCCATGACATAATTGTCAAACACCTTCTTATTTGCAGGGGCCGATCCAGGATTTTGGAAAGGGGCGCGAAATTTTTTTAAGTTCGCCGAGCGGAGCGATGCGAAAAATTTTTTTGAACCTTTTATTGGCTAAAACAAAAAAATAAGTGTAAAATGCACTTTTTTAACGGTTCCTGACGTGGGGCATGTATATTTTATGGTTAAAGTGAAAGGGTTGGACATTTTTGATGCCGTATTCTCCCCATAAATTGTCTATTATAAAATGATTGGAGGGATCCAAAGCTAAGTACTAATATATTTGATGTGGGACTTGTCAGTAAAAAATGGACATGGAAAATTCTCGTTTGTTGTATGTGTAGTTAGCATATCCTCACAGATTTCTTGTTGTAAACAAGATATACGCCGGGCTATTCAATGAAATTTACGATACGACCGACACGAGTTAAGAAAGACAAACAAGCAATTTTTATCCAAATGTTTGGTTGAAATGTTTAACCCAACAAGGGAAGTGAGGGGTTTCAAATCAACCAAAGGCTACGAATGAGTCTGAAATGACAACGAATTTATGAATGACGGTCGACAAATGGAGACATAAAGGCCACACCCAGCAGGCAGGTTGCAGTTGGGCTTTGAAAAAAGTATTCAATATATCAGTTCGGTGAAACAGACATTCCGGTCAGATATGGGATTTACATGCAAACCCCAGGCCCCAAAAAAATTACGCCCGTTTTTTATTCATCATGTTCATTTAATGCTAAATAATTCTGTTGGAAATTTTTGTTTCTAATAGCAAAAAAGTGGACAAGATTATTGTTTCAGTCCAGATACGGCCAGAATTTTTATTTAAGGCAAAACTCAGGGTCAGAATTTTTTTCTCAAATATCTCAAACTGCCCCCTCAAATCAAATGGTCGTTACCTTAGACTTTAAACTATCTAGTCTAAGAGCTCACTGACTGGGGATCATTATTCAGCTGTTATCAATAGGCTGGGGCGTGTGGGGTTAAACATGTTTTCGTAGGTAAATACTATTGCTGTGGAACTTTTTTTTCATGAGAGTGTAATAGAGTATTACTTTCTGTTTGGTGGAATTGTGAAATAAAAGTCAATACGTTCTTGCCCAATCCTTTGTCGCTTTGAAGGTGTCATGCTTGTCATCCTTAGCCTAGGCAATGTGTTACTGTAATTTGAATTTAAAAATGACTGAGTGACGTTTTTTCGACGCACTGGTCAACTCCACCGTAGCGAATCACATGACTTTGACAAAATCATATTACAGTAAATACGAGCAAAATATATCTTTATAAGAAAAGAATTGTCGCATAAAAATTAAATACACGGGACATGGCAAAGTTCACGAAGTCTAGTTTGAATAATCATTTTACAAAAAAAAAGTGCAAGCAAAAGGGGGGCGTACGCCCTCTACGCCCCCCTTTGGATCCGCCACTGATTTGTTAAAACTATACAAAAGCTACCTCAATTTGTTGTTACTCAGTGGGTATCTTATTGGTGTACTTTCCGATTTTCTTAGTCACCAGAATCACAAAAAGACAAGAAAAAACTTACTTCCTCAAATCCACAGGCCTCGTGTAATTGGACAACCAGCCGTTTCTGTATTGTAGTATCATCTTTCTCTAAAGCATCTTTTAGTATGTTTGAAGTGATCCGGTCAAGGTCCTCGTTTGCTCGTTTAAATTCGTCAGATTCTGTTGAAATTTCATTAAGAGCATAACATTTATGGAGAATTGTCACCATACACTCCAACAATTCATCTTGTTCACCGTCCAAAGCATTCAGATCTAGCTGAAGAAGCACGTGTCCGACGATATCTAAAGCCAAACGCAGTGACCAATGAGTAATATTGACAGATCTTAGTGATTGCTGTTTTATTTTTAGACACATCTTTTTAATATCTTCAGTCATCAAAGATGCTCTTTCCTCTATAGATGTCTTTCTAAACAAGGATGCGATAGCACGCCTCGTTTCGGGACTTTTCTGAGATGAACCTAAAAATGTATCTTTAAGTGGTGAATTGTCTAGGTATTTTTCTGCACCTTTTTCCAATTTGTTGATTGCTGTTTGTGCTAGTTTCTGGTTAAAAATGTAGATTTTATCGTCAAAACGAAATAAACCTTGCTTGTGATAAAACTGTGTAAGAAGTTCTAACTTTTTCAACTTTTCATCTCCAAACGTTTTTTGTAACAGATATTGTATAATCAAGGACGGATTTGGAATTGAACCATCACTAAACCATGGCATCTAAAAGGAACAAATTTCAAATTTTTTATGAAAATAAATGAATTTTGTATTGTTTGTTTATGGTATATAAAATATGGAACATATAAATATATATTTCATATTCGACATTTATTAGAGTAACTTTTATATCCACTTATTTCATTTGATTCATCATTCCAATATTCTCTCTGTTTTCTATCATTTAATATTTCCTTGTGTGTCTAAATACTTAAACAATCAATTTCTTATCTTTGTCCTTTTTAAGTTTTTGTATTTTTATCGTTTCTAGCAAATTATGTAATATCTGGTAATATTCAAAGTGAGGTCGTAGGTTAGCGAGGAATCCTGTATTGGAAGTAATTGGTATTGGAATTCCAATCGTTTGTCTTATTGACAATGTTTAATCTATTTCCAAGATAGTTTGTTAAAACAGGGTCGGTCAATGTCCCTAAAAATACGAGCCTGAATTGTTTATTTTGAGAAAATACAAGACAAGACCGGCAATACTAAACTCACCTCAGACACAAGAGAGAAAAAAATAACACATGACAGACAGGTGAATCATCTCAATAAACATACTGACAATTAAAGAAACATACTGTCACTTCAATAAACATAATGACAATTTGATGAATTTACTTACAATTTAATAAATTCACTGACAATTGAATAAACATACAGACAATTTAAAAGAAATTCTGCCAATTGAAAAAAAAAATTGCTGACAATGTTACAAATTTACTGACAATTTAATAAACACTCTGACGACTTAATAAATTTACTGACTATTTAACAAATTTACTGACAATCACCCGTATACAGATTGATACACAAATTATAACTTTTCCGCTAATTTGTCAGTGGAGGACCTTGGGAGAGGAAGGGGAGGGATTCGGGGATCAGACCTTCTATCATTAGATTTTTCCTAAAACAACGAAAATCGGTGAAAATAAGGCTGAAATCCCCTACCCGCACACACTTTTTCTGCATGTTTAACAAGTATAACACACAGATCTCTCTTTATAAAAGTTCTACTGCAGAGGTAAGGGAGCTACCATTTAATTTTTATGGGGGGGGGGGGGGGCTAGGATGAAATTTGAAAAAAAATAATAAAAAGGCAGGACAGAGATTACAACTAAAAATCAAATGGTAGCTCCCTTACTCAGTGTTGAGCAAATTTACTTTTAACATAATTTATTTATAAAACTGTATGAACGTAATTTATTGGTAAGAGAAAATAAATTAAACAACAGGTGAAAAGAATCATTCATAGATAAAATCGTGTTAATCAGAAAAAAGGTTGGTTTGGCCTTATCTATATTATTTTAAAACCATCAAACCAAGGTATACGTAATTAAGTATTTCATATGTATGTGTGCTGTAGTTTAACGTTTAAATATGGAAATAACTTACCACATTTATGATATAACTAATCAGTTTTAAACAGAAAATACAACAGAAAGACAATATCTGGTGGAAATTAGCCATGTTTTACTGTTATCAGTTGTAAACAAAACGGACGAGTTGTGATAGACCATATTAAAGCTCCGCCCATTTATGGAAGAAAAGCGAGCGACATCTTTAAAACTTTAGATATACCCGTTCACTCTCAATAACTTTACTTTGTCAAAAAATGATTTTAAAGTTTTATAAAAAAAAATAAACATGCAATCATACAATTTTTTTGGCACATCTACAAATAAGGAGTGCAGTCATGCTGCAAAGGTTAAACTTTTTATTTTTCACCCGAATTTACACATCACGTATCTAAGTTAATATATTTCCGAAATAAACGAATATCGCATACTCGGGGCTCATATGTTTGAAAATAAAATTCATTGGATTAATTTTCTGTAGCTTTGTTGTGAAAATGACCACCCCAGACCAGTAGCTTATGGAGAAACCCGTTCGTTTTTGTTGTTGTTTTTTGTTTGTTTGGTTTTTTTTTTTAGTTTTCAAATGCCTTTTCAATAGTTGCCTCCCCTGCTTTTGTGTTCACCAGTAATTGCAAGCTAAAAACGATTTGAAAATTAGTATTTAATTGAAATAGATAAATAGTGAATGCTTATAGAATATTCCTTTCTTATACATGTATTTAGACAGAAATACAAGTGTGTGTAATTCCTTATTTTTTTACAGATGCTAGTTTCTTCAAATAGTAAAATAGTCAACTACGATGTCGCAAATCACAAAGCATATTAGCAGATGAATGAAGCTGGAATACCCGAGTTAGTCACACACGAATTTTTCATATAATATTCTATAATTTCTTATGGACTTAAAGAAGAAAAGCTAAGAAAATATATATCAATTATGATGATTTTCCAAACCACAACCGAATCGAAACTTGTTCACTAAATTAAAAGCAAACAATTGGACACTCTAAAAAATCAAGGGTCGGTAACTTCCTTGGAAAGACTCCTCAACTGTAAGCAATATGGACTACTAGTATATATTTAGTAAATGGTAGTTGCTAACCACTATCATTAAATGTCTCGAATAATGAACTAAGAACACTGTGTCTAAACTACCCCGGCAAAAAATGTTTGGACTCGATGGTATCTAATATCCGGCACGGTGACGGAACATCAATAGACATAGAAAATGTAGGTTTCTGTTTATCTATTTGTTATTTTTATGATATCGAAGAATATATATACATATATAACTATTTTCTATTGTGAGATGTAATATTTTCTTCAACCGTTCTAGATTAACGGAGAAATAAGTAAAAATGCACTTCAAAATGACGAATTGAGTGAACCTTGTCTCGAATTTGTTTAATTTCTCGTTAAATTGTTCACATTGTACGGAAAGAAAGGTACGGTAAGAAAGATATTGACATGGAGATTGCAAAACTAGTCACTTTGAGCATCTGAATACTTGTATTTCTGTGTATAAAACGAAAGAAATGGGTCATGTCAAAATGGAAGGACCCGGTTTTGTCAATGTGTACAACCCGGTTTTGTCCTAGATATCACAAGACAGAACCCGGTTTTGTCAAAGAAAAAAATGCATAATCGCATAACATAATTGAACTTCAGCGTTTAAAAGGAGTTTAGTGGCTCGTTGGAAAACGATTTCTTTCAGATGAAAACTTATCATTCATTTGAATCTGTAAACACTTAAATCCCTTCTTTATTGGAACAAAAATAATTATAATTTTGCTTTGCATTTAAAAAAAAAATACTGCGAAAAAGATAAAAATGAAGGTTAAGCTCTCTATACGTTTTTTATATGAATTGTGTAAATGTAAGTGTTTAAACATGAAATTAGAGTTTACGGTCTTGCAAATGGAGGCACGCACATTTGATATGTGATTTTCTTGTACAACAAGATGGTTATCTTTAAAAAGTAACCCAATCTACCTAGGGGTGTAATCTTTTCTATGATCGTTTAAAATAAACCGTCTTAAGGCTTAATTTTCATTATAAGGCATAATAATAAGAGAAATATATATGCATGCAGAATCGCCATAGAAAAAGAATGTTTATGGGGAGAAAAGGATTACAATAATCATGCATTAAAAAATCAAATCTATTTATCCCTAATTGTAACTATAATACTAAGCATAAATTAGTATAATAGTATCCGGCCATCGAAAAAATGCAATACCGATTATGTTATTTATAGTTCTATAAATGAACGGTTCTGTTATCTCTCCATTGTGTTATGATTATCGTACATTGACGTTATTATTGACAATATATAGGGACGGATTCAGCTTTTATCAAAGTGGGCGAATTCAAACAGTTTACATACCGCCGAGCGAAGCGAGGCAAACAATTTTTTGGACGATTTTATGCTAAAAAAAAAAATCGTAAAAAACATGATTTAGTAATTTTTGGGCCATCATTGGTGGGGGTGGGGGCATGCGATCTATATACACCGCCTGGATTCGCCACTGATGTTATATATCTAAATTGTATACCAACTAAAAATTTTATAAGAATTTAGAAAACAGGGACACCCGCGTATGTGAGTAGGATTATCATGTTTATTCTAAAAATTCACATTGATATTTTGGAATTGTCGGAATGCGAGACCATGGGATACAAATTCGTCGCGGCTTGAACTATTTGTATGAAGCTTCATATGTCAGAAGTTAGAAGGCCTGACTGCAACATACCTCGCACACAGATCTTTTATGTTACGATGTTTCTATCCGTCATATGTCCATTGCCCTTGACCTCATTTTCATAGTACAGCGATTTCCTAACAAAATGAATAGCTGTTTTTTTATCAAGTGAATTTCACACGGATAATGGTTGATATCTATGATCAAGGTTAACATTTCGTGTGCGTGTCCGTATCTCTAATACAATAAGTAATAGGTCAACTTTATTTGCTCGTATGGCCACATGACTATTTATGTGACCTTGAACTTTTTTCTTGATTAATTGGTAAATGTTAAGTTTTTTTTTCGGTTGGTTTTAATGATTGTAATTGTGTTCATGTCAGTCTGGGAGGTTTCATCAGACCTTGACTTTTTATGGTTCCATGAACAATGTTAAGTTTATGCGATACTTTTATTAAATTATTTATTTTACAGGTCTTCAAAATAAATTCAATTACGATCACTCGAGCAGTCGCGACATGTCAATGCGTGCACTCTTGTATAAATAATATGAAGAATTTATTTTTATTGAAAAAACGCAAGTGAAGTTGTTTTGCCATGTCTGATTAGTTTATCTTGTTCGTGTAAGCCTTAATTATGAATGGTCAGACATTTTTTTTAAATTCAAGAACAGTTCAATCTTGTTTGAAATTCTTGGTTGGTTTTAGCTCACCTGACCCAAAGGGAAATGTGAGCTTTTTTTAACATTTGGCCCCCGTCGTCCGTCGTTCGTCATCTTCCGTTAATTTTTTACATAAATCTTCTCCTCTGAAATTACTGGGCTACATTTAACAAACCTTATCAACAATCTTATGTCGGTTTTAAAAGGTCAAACGAACTTATGTTTTACTGTTTTTTAATCATCATTGGGATATCTATTTCTAAATGGTTTTCAATGACCCCACTTGTCAACAAAGTGGGCCGACATGGCTAAAAATAGAACATAGAATTTCTTTCGATGAACAATGTTCAGATCCGTCCTTACTCTCTATCTTATATTTGTATATTTAAAAAAAAATATGATTCCTTAGAAAGATGTATTGATTAGATAATATCAATAGATTTATATATTGTATATTGCTATCATATTTGTGTATATTATGTTGTAAATTGGAAGTTATAAATATTAAAAATCAAAAACAAAATGTTCAGATCCGTGTTAACGTTGCTTTTCATAAATTTGTGGTTTCAAAACCAAAAGACAAAACCGGGTCATTGTGTAGTCAACAACATTGACAAAACCGGGTCCTTCCATTTTGACATGACCCATTTCTTTCGTTCCATACACAGAAATACAAGTATTGAGGTACTCAAAATTACTAGTTTTGCAATTTCCATGTCAATATCTTTCTTTCCGTACCTTTCTTTTCGTACAATGTGAACAATTAAAGGAGAAATTAAACAAATTCGAGGCAAGGTTCACTCAATTCGTTATTTTGACGTGCATTTTTACTTATTTCGCCGTTAATCTAGAACGGTTGCAGAAAATATTACATCTCACAATAGAAAATAGTTATACATGTATATATATTCTTCGATATCATAAAAATAACAAATAGATAAACAGAAACCTACATTTTCTCTGTCTGTTGGTGTTCCGTCACCGTGCGGGATATTAGATACCATCGAGTCCAAACATTTTTTGCTGGGGTAGTTTAGACACAGTGAAGAAGCTCACTTAAAAGTGTGACAGATATATATAATGAAAAATTCTTGCTATTTAAAGGAAGGGTATCGAATTCTTAACATGACAATTACTAAAAGGTTTCAACTGAATATTGGATAACATATTCTATTATATAATCGATTGTTCACGGTCCACACTCCAACCATTTAAAAGTACAAGGATTTGTTTTCTTGTACCGCAATGTTATCTATATCAAACATGCTATCTATTATGTAGTGATAAAGGTTGAACTACTATCTGATCAAGGCTAAGGATTTTACGAACTGTCTACAAACGTCATCATATTTTCTTGTGAATTTTTTTTTGTTACCACAATATACATTTTGGAGGAAAAATAACAATGGCCGACAAGAATGCACCCGTTTTGACAGATGCTATTAAAAGCTACGATGGAATTTTCAAAGGAATGTACGATGATGACCTCCTAGAGAAATTTTTACGTATTCGGCGACATCTGGCGGAAGGTCAGTTGAAAAAGGCACAGGCATTGCTAGAAGAATCTTTATCCGAGTGTGGAGAACACCCATCAGACAGGAGTACCTTGGAGCTACTTAAATATGAACTAGATCGCTATATAACCTTCCACATTACAAACTCTTACAAAATTGTTGACGATGTTAACTGGACAGAAATCAATACTAGAAAGTTGGAGCGACTTACTGAGAAGCACTGGGCCCTTCCACAAAGTGTATTCTTCTTAACATTCAATATAGGTCCATCGAAGTATAGACTAGTAGGAAGAAAGATCCTTTCGGACTTATGGATACAAAATAGGATCCCTGAGAT